TTTTTTTTTCTTTAATTGATTCCATAGTTCAATTCAGTTTTGGTCATCTATTTTCATTAATATAAATGCAAGCAAGCTAGCTTACCTACTTTGAAACCAAAATCTTGAAGAACTGAGGGTGATTTCCAGATAGATGTTCACACACTGATTTAACTATTCTTCATTACTTCAGCTATGTAATTTTTAGATGATGACAGCATTTTAGGTGCAAGTTTATTGGTATAGACATCCATATTTGCTTATCAAAGTTTCAAGTTCTCTAGTTTAGGATTGCCAATTTAAGTGATTTGCTTTGCAGTTGTAGCTTGTAAAACTAAAAGCTTCTTCTTCTTCTTCTTCTTTTTGGGGGGGTGGTGGTAGTCTGACTGTATTTTTAGTAGGACATAGTTGCATTTTAGTGAATTTGTTGTGTGTTCATGTGTATACATTTTTTACTCTCACTACTTTGCATAAACATTCTCTGAATTTTATCCTACATAGGTTCAATTCATAAGTGCTTGAATGATCTAATGTGCAAACAAAACCCTTCTGTCTCAGTGATTCTTTCTTGTATAAGCCTAAACTAGAAAACTTGTCAAGGTTTGTCTTGTTGCTTTGCTATCTTGTGTGCCCTTAATCAATTTATAAATTTGACCAGTTTTCATAGAAAATCAAATTTTAAGCATAGAAGTTATCTTATTTTAGGTCTGCGATTCTAGTGTTTATGCGCTTGCTACTTTGCTAACTATTTATATAGACAGACACCTTACAACTTCTGGAATTGCAACAATTAAAGAACATACTTTCCAAATGACGATTATCACAACCCTCGTTATATTGCTAGGACCTTTGGTCATGAGCATTGTAGCTCATTGGTATAAATGTTGGCAATAGTTGATGCAGTAATGTACATAAATTCAACACTTGGTTGCCATCCATCAAGACCCCTCGTCGTGAGTACAGCAGTTTCATTTGTATAAATGCTGGCAATAGTTGTAGTAATGTGCATAAAATCAACAAATGGAGTGAGGAGAAGCTAGCAATGAGATCCTGTGCACCTAAGAATTAATGATATTGAAAATAATCGGTTTCAATTTTATCAAACAATGGTTTAATTAGAGAAGTGCACAACCTGTCTAAGCTGCCCTTGTTGAATGTATTGTAAGTCCCACATGCTTTTAAATAAAAATATGAACCCTTTTGGGTCTCATTTGTTCTGATTGACTCTTTCTTGAAAAACATTGGGATTCTTTGTTGCTAAATAATATGAAGTGCAAATTGAATCCTTTATATTCTCCATGACTATTCCAATGTCATACAAAGTGGTGAAGAATTTTAGTGAAGCTCAGCTAAAATCTTCAAGCAAATTTACTGCAACATGACATATGTTTCACCGTTTGAGCCTCAAAAACAAGGTTGTCTAGGTCTGGCTTCTTAACAAAACATGTGTTCTTAATAGATTACTAATAAATTGATAACTTTGGCTTTTCATGTTGAATCATAATTTAGCTTGTTAAAGTTTCTTTTTCACTTTGAGGTTCCTATAGTCTTTCCCTTGTTACTCTTCTCGTATTCAGGAGGAGATGAAGAATGTGATCAAGTTAGAATGATTGGAGTTTGATTTCAGTATTTTTCAGTGTTCATCAAAGCTGGTAAATCCTCAAATTCCCTTTCTTCTATACGCTATTCACATTCTCTTCAAGTAGGTTTGCTCTTCTAATTATTTTGTTTCATTCTTAGTTTTGACATATTTATATCATACTAGGAAGGCAGAAAAAAATATCTAAGAATTGCACATATCGGTTCATTTATCACATGATTATGTCCAAAAAGCAGTTGTAAACAATAATGGATGTGCAGAAAGTTAGAAGGTACAGGAACCAAGGCTCAAGTCAAGAACTTGGCGCCTAGAGAGGCAGTTTAACCAAGTGTGACCCTTATTTGACCTGCTTTGACTATTCTATTTTGGGGGTTAGTTTTGGCTATCCAAACACTCCTAGTGTTTCCTTAAGTATGTGACTTTGTATTGGGGTGGGAAATGAGAGTAGCTCTTTTAAGATTGAGAGAAAAATGAGAGAGTATTGTGGATTTTGATCTTAACTGTGTATTCCTGCCATTTTGGTAGGAGATGATTTTTTGGGCTAGGTTAGTGTCCCATAGGTTTTCCTAGTTGGGTTTTCCATGTAAAATTTGGTGTGTCTCTCTGTTTTTACTTTGATTATGTTGAAGTAAAGGTTCCTTGTGAGTTGTGGTAGAAGCAAGAGTCCCACATTGTTGAAATATGATGAAAAAGAGTGGGTTAAATATGTTAAGACCCATACACTTTCTGGATTGGGTTTTCGGGTTACAATATGGCAAAACATAGCCAAAGGCATATTGATTTTGAGTATACCCATGGATCATGTTTATGAAAAATGAACTCTCATGGGAGCCAGGGACTGTTGAAGTATGTAGTTGTGTCTCCCCGTTAGGCCAGATATCTCCCCAGCAGATTACTACTTTCTGTAGTTCAATTTCTGCATGATTATATTGATGAGTTGCTTTGTTCGTTGTCTTGGAAGCTCAAAAAGTGTCTTCAAGTAGATGCTCTAATATGTTTTATTCTCTAAATATCTACTTGAAAATTTATGTCCAGGTTTATATTTGAATGCCAAACAAAAATTTGAGCAATGAATAAATTCAATTGCAGGTTTGAGCTTTTGGCATCTTTCCACTTGCTGCTCATTTAGAGAAAGGCTCATTGACTTAAACAACACTTATACATTTCATATATAGTGGGATATAGTAGAAAGGCTCGTTGACAAATAAGATTGTAAGTTGGCATTCAAATTAAACAATCTTGTTTAAAAAATAAGATTGTAATTTGGCATTCATAACAAAAACAATCATTTTAAAAAAAGACGTATATGAAAGTTTTATATGATACTTAGCATATTATGTGGTGCCATATAAGCACTTACATCGATTTTTGTTAGTTAAATATGCAATCCTTCTTGAGATTTTGCTTAAAAGCTCCAATGATTCTTTTATCTTTTCTAGCCCCTCTTTCCTTTTGTTAAAAAGGGTGTTGAGGTTGTCTTGAGACCATAACGAATTGTGTTTAAAAAGCATTGATGCATCAGTGTGGGCTGGTACTTGAGAATGGAAATGGTTAAGTTATTAATGACCACTATTGTGTGAATTTGGCATTAGGATGTGTTCAAGTATGTTTCCTTTGCGAGTGTGAAGAACAAAAATCTCATATCAAAGAAATATAAAAGGAAAGAGTAGCTTAAATATGTTAAGATCCATGTAATTACTCGATTAGTCTTTTGGTTAAAAGATGATGTTGAAACATGTGATGGGTCACTCAGTGTCTCTTACTAAGCCAGATGTCTCTCCAACAAGTGGTATTAGAGTCAGTGGCATAATATAGCTAGTGGGAGTATGAAGAACAAAGATCCCACATCAAATATCACAAGTGAAAGTAAAGAGTAGTTTAAATATGTCAAGACCCATGTAATTAATGGACTAATCTTTTGGTTATAAAGTGGTGTCAAAATATGCGATGGGCTACTCAACGTCTGCTGGTAGGCCATATGTCTCCTTAACAAGTGGTATCAGACCTAAATTCTTGAGGGACTTGTGAGAATTTGTTTTTTGAGGGAACATTAGAAAAGACCCCCACCTTTCTCAATGTTTCCATATGGTTTTTCACATGAAACCTTCTTGCTTGGCCAAAATCTTGCACCAAAAAGACTATGAAGATAGAGGCATATGTTAGTCCCACCATGGGAGATGTCAAGGAGAGGAAAGCTGGATTCAAAGAGAAGTCGTTCATATTTGTTTCCAAAATCAGTCTAAAAGGCAAACCATGGTTGATGGAATGGGAACTAAACACAAAAAACTCAATTTTGTGGTATTTTCTTCATCCATATTTTATGTTTGCTATGATATGTTTTTAGTTTTCCCAAGAAAAATCTTCATGAATGTGGCTTTGATGTTCTAAACTCCCACGGCTTCATGGCAAAGAATGTCAGATGGAGGTTTAACCAACACCAAGCACAAAATCACAAACTCCAAAATGTATTGAAGCAAAAAAGATCCATGGACAAAGCTACTGTAATTGTGGAGTTGTTGAAAATGTTTAAGGCTCCAAAATTTGTTAAAATAGCAAAAATTTAACAAAGATGAAGCTGATTTGCAGGGGGAGCTAAAATAGTTGAGAAGATGGTACTTGGCAGCAAACAACAAACCAAAGCACGAAGAATTGAAAATGGCAGATTCAATCTGTTAAAGTCGAATTTTGTTTTTTCAGCTTTAATGCCAAGGAGGAGTTTGTTGGAGCTATGACATGAAAGCTAAAAATGCATTGAAATGAAAGCTACTAAATGGTGCTGCAATATGACTGCATAGTAGCAGTGAAGTGAGAGCAACATGGAGCTTCACATGGGCTACAAGAAATGGCAGCAAACTTCAACATTTTAATCAATGTTTTAGGTAGTTAATAGTTATTGTATTAGGTAAAAAAATATTATTGTTTTATGTGTAGCTTTCCTCTATAAAAAGGAAGGAAGATATTGTATGAAAATTGAATAAGGGACGCATGGTTTCTCCTCTCCGGTTGGGTGAATGTCTGCACCCTTCCATGTTTATGGCTTATGTTCTATGTTATGTTCTAAGTTCTACCCTCCTCCTACTCTCCTTTAAGTCCTCTCTCAAACCTTTCTTCTTACCTCAAAAATATAAGATGGTATGAGAAAGGTTTTTGAGGTAAGAAGAAAGATTTGAGAGAGGACTTAGAGGAGAGTAAAACTTAGAACATGACATAGAACATAAAGTCATAAACATGGAAAGGTGCAGACATTCATCCAACTGGATAGGAGAAACCATGCTCTCTTTCTCAATTTTCATTCAATTTCTTCCTTCCTTTTCATAGAGGAAGGCTATACATAAAACAATAATATTTTTCTACCTAATACAATAACTATTAACTTTGGCTAAAATGTTGAAGTTTGCTGTCATTTCTTGTAGTCCATGTGAAGCTCCATGCTTCTATCACTTCACTGCTACTGTCACTTCGTTGCTACTATACAGTCATGTTGCTGCATTATTTAGTAGCTCTCATTTCATTGCATTTTCAGCTTTCATGCCATAGCTCCAACAGGGTGAAAGACCAGTTTAAGTTCCGAGTTCTGTAGGGTCATAATGAAATATTTTGCCTCCAAATTCCTAGCCTACTCCCACACATCAAGTCTTAGTTGAATTTTTGTATTTTTAGGAAATTGTAGTTCAATTTTAAACAGGTGCAGATTTTCTCTTGTTCTCATTGACATATATTTTATTTCTACAGATGGTGTAGTTTTACAAATTGAATAGTTCTGTGTGAGTGATGGGGAAAAAATATTTGACAATTACAGTGTGAAGATGTTGAAGTTTGTATCAAAGATTATAGCTTACCTTGTAATTTTTCTGGCTATTCATACTTTCAGGTATAAACTGGCTTATTCATCAGATTTCAATCACATCCTGGACCGAGTAATAGAAAACAATACCAGTTTCTTATGGCTGAGAGGCTTATCACTATGGGAGCAAAAACATTCATCAGAACATTCAAGGAAGATGATACAGTTCTCACCCTCACAGATGGCCTGAAGAAGGATACTAAAGCCTGGAAAATACCAGTTTATTCCTAGGGTGGAGAGGGAAGTTGAGTTTAGTTCAAGTTCAAGTCTTGCATGTGGTTCAGCGTATTAACTGGCATTTTTGGTGGGATACACTCTGCATGCTACCGTCCTCTCCGGTGAAAAATACGAGCCCTCAATTGAATTGCATACCAGAATCTTGAGGCTGCACATTGAGAATCAATACCAAGCCGAAAGCGGGAGGCGGAATATTTCACTGGCTGATGTAAATTTGTGTTCTAGCTAGAGTAAAATAGAGTGTTGTATGTCGGTATGTCCTTTATCATAGGCGTTCTTCTCAAGGTGTCCTCTATCTTTCCGTTTCTCTGCTTTTTGCTTTTCACTTTCTTTCCCAACTTGTTGGGCATTGATGCCTTTTTAATTCTTGGAATTAAAGAAATCTGTTTCATTGTCTAGATTAGATCGAATTATAAAATATGGATTATTAAATACAAAAAACCACTAATATTAGAGATTCAATTTCTATTCAATGATTCATGTTGTGTAATTTATTACAATAGAAACTACACAATACTTTTCCTACGAATTATGGTAACTATATAATTTTAGTTTCTAAATAGGGTTTCTCTAGAGTTTAAGGATTTTTTTTTTTTTTTACACATTTGATATTTCCAAATCTCTCTAGAGAATAAGTTAAGAGTTAATAAAAATACCTTTTGTTATAAATTTGTGTTTAAAAAAAAAACCTATTAATTTATCAATTATTTAATTAAATTTATCTACTTAATAATAATATCAAATTAATGTCAATTTTTATATTTGTTACATATATTTATGTCAAAAATATACTCTTAACTTATACTCTTATACTCTCAAAGCATATTTTAAGAAAACCCTTCAAAAATACATGCCTACATGTTGTTTTGAAGTCTAATGATTGTAGAAAATGAAACATTAAATAAGTTATTCTATTTTCATTAAATGAGTGTGAACACCTTTATCCATCATCCCTGATAAGAAAATTGTGTATATAATATTTTCGCAATTTTAAGCCTTTCTGTTTTTAGTTACAACTGACAAACACTTGCTCTTCTTTTTAAATAAAAATATGATGACTAGTAAATAATAAAAAAGAAAAAGAAAAAGAAAAATCAAGATATTCTAAAATTTAAAATACTTGTTATTAAATGTGGAAAGTAGTTGGCGAAAAATCATTTGGAATTTGAAAATAAAAATCATTTTCTAGGATAAGTAAAAGAAAAAATATAGGAAAATGAAAAACACTTAAAAGTTGTTTTCCAGAATAAGAAAACTCAGAGGTACTCAATTGAAAGGAAAAAAAATGCACATGGAGGGATCCATATGAGACAAATAAAAATATGTAGGTTAAAATTTACCACCATTATAAGCCTCAATATATGATGAAACACTAGATGGCTAGGTATATAGCTCAGTAGTTGCCTTTCCCTTTCTCTGATGGCTTCAACGCTCACCGTGACGGCTTCCTCAGTTCCTCTCTTCGTTAGCTTCCTCTGGCATTTCCCCAAGAACTCGTTACAGGAAATTTGGGATCTTTTTTTTTCCCAGAAAAGGAAATTATTGGCTGATTCTCTTTCGAGATCTCTTTTCTTTTTGATTTGGGAACCCATTGTTGGCGACTGTCTCTATTTTTCATGAATGTATTTAACACATTTTAAATTTCTTTTGTCAAATAAATGAAACAAATAGTAAGAAATGTTGCAATAATTTATTGGTTAATTTCCCTCTAAATTTGTTATATCTCAAGATCCAGTTACATTGACAAGTTTATTTATCTTTGCTCTGCTTAAAAGAAAGTTTAATTATATTTGTTAAAGGGTTTTTGCAAGTTGTGATCTAAAGGCACATATTAATAGTGTATTATTGTATTTTTTTTACTATTAATTTAGATATAAAATTAAAAAAATAAATTTTATTTTCAATATTAATGTTATATGAAACAATTTAATTAAACA